AATTATATATGTATATATTTAATATAACATGAATTTCTCAGTTTGACAGTGCTTAGTGTATTTGTATTCCATATTTAAACTAATGCAAACATTTTGGCCACGAAATTTCAAAAACTGGAGGAACTTAAGAGCCAGAAATTGTTACTCTTGAAAATGTTTTACTGTTTTTCAATCATCACAAATACATATGTAACACAAATCAAAATATGCAATCAGGTCAGGGTGAAGCTTCATGCCATTACAAGATCGTGGTGTCTCGTGCAAAACAAAGCAATTTATCCATGTGCATAGATATAACCTTAAATTCTAGAACCCATGATTTACATATCGAAATCAGCAAGAATTTCTACTATGTTTCAAACTTAATTTCAGTTAAACAGTTAACAATTTCTGTTAACTGACAGACTTGCCTTAATCTTTTTTTTTTATGTAATTTAAGTTCGTCCTTATATTCTTAATTTGCACGAGACTTTTAACAGTTTTTAAATAATAAGTTTTACTACTGCAATGTTCAGTAATTTTACAACACAAGTTGATGAGATTACGTATTATTTTAAGTAAACGATCATTTCCGGTCATCTTACAACACAAATTGTTGAGACTACTTACCACTTTGGGCAAGGAATAATGTTTGGTAATTTTAAAATACAAATTAGCGAGATTATGTACTATTTAGGGCAAGCGATAATCTATGGTAATTTTATAACACAAATGATTGAGACTACTTACCACTTTGGGCAAGGGATAACTTTTGATATATATCCTTATTTCTGGTCACAATAGATCCCAAACAGACGTCACAATGACCTGTTGTAAAAATTTAAAAATAAACAAATTCACCAGCGGCTTATGATCTTTCACAGAGTAATAAGAAATAAAATTAACTACATCTTATATTAGTAACTTATCTTATTCAACGGTTCGATGACTTGCATAATCGTCATAAGAATAAGAATAAATAGATATGACTCTTTTTATTGATATACAAAACTAGCGATCTTGTGAAACAAGTGCCTTTGTCAAAAAGAATTATTAACCTGATCTAAATTACTATAAAGCTAATATGTCTAGCCACGTTTTCTACAAGGTGTTTTCATGGATGTGTTCTTTAACAAGGCGTAGTTTCTGCGCGCATTACGAATATATCAACTGACCACAACTACAACTATCAGGAGCCCGAAGACGAATAACCACTATTTTCAGATTCCATGTTTCCTAGCTTCATATAATTAAGAAGATAATTACACACAGATAAGTTATATAATTGCTTAAATTAGCAAATACTTTGACTGAATATTGAACAATTTATTATAGAAATTCCCAGGATGCTCCCCCCCCCCAAAGGCTTCTACAAATCATTGTTAACAATCACCATAGTAATTGTGCAATATTCACGCAATAATGTTATAAAGTGAAACATTTTTAAAGATTATTCAAAGTACTAAATCCAGTTAAGTATGATATTATGTGAACTTACCATTCATATACTTCGTCAACGAATGCATAACAACATCTGCCCCAAGGTTCAACGGTTGCTAAAAGAAAAACAAGGATAACAGACTCAATATTTGAAAACAAAGAATGATTTAGGTTTTATGCGTATATTTCATAGAAATATACTTATATTTTAAAATCAATGAAAATTCCTTTTATAAAATATATTTATATGATTAACGTTTTTCACAGAGAATTTGAAAGTAGCGCTCTAATCAGAGGATAAGCTTGTCTCTGGTTTTAACAAAAGTTTATAACATTCTTAATGACTTTCACACTTACAGTGGTAAAATTCAGGGTTTGATCCCTGTGGTGGTAACATCAAAGGTAGTTCATTATGTTTTAAAATTAAATATAGCCTTCAGACCCAAAATATTTGTTATATATTCCTTTGAAACTAACTATGCATGCTAAATATTTTGTTTTGTGAAACATTGTTAGTATGTTGGAATTAATTCATAAAAAAAAAATAATTAGCATGCATAGTTAGTTCCATTTAAAACTACATGTATACTTTGTGTAATTATAACTTATTTCAATCCATCGAAAAGGCGTGATACTGTTTCACTAAATACAAAAGCAATTTCGAATTTCCTGATTGGTGCTGCCCTTGCCTGAAAAACCGGGGTGGAAAATGTGTTGTCCACTGCTACCAGAATATCCGGATGGTCAGCTTTGACTACTTCCACTATTGCTTTGATGTCTAAGACTTTCAGTAAAGGATTAGTCGGAGTTTCTAACCATATAAGCTGTAGAAAAAATGCAGAAATTGATAAACAAAAATACTAAGTGCCATATAAACAATCAATTTTAAAATGCTGTAAAGTATCGGATGAACAGTTACAGACAGATTACTATCATCGATGGTGAAAAACAATACAATAAGAAAAACGAACTGATCATGAGCATTCAGTGGAATGGATCTTATATTTACTTGTTTTATGTAATGAAATAAAAACAGAGTTCAGGAAGTTGTCAGAATTACAAGATAGCCTATTACGTCCCTCTTCAGAAAGTATAAGTAATTTTAAGTCTTGATCAACCACTTGTGCACGATTTGTTCTATAACCACGAGTTGGTGTCGAAATACTCAGTCTTTCACTGAAATATGTCAGAATTGAAGTGTTCTTTCAGGTATCTCTTTCACCCCACTTCAAAATTCTTTAGTTACAAATTGACATATTTCTTTTAAAACATATGCTGACGTGTAATTCGACCAAATCGACAAACAGGAAAACATTATAGCATTATGATACAAGAGCTTGGATATTTAAATTAGTAATTTAATTTCCAATTAATGGGATGAAAAAACTTGTAAAATTACAACAAAAACTTTATTTTACAATGAACATAGTTCTTTTTTCAATAAAAATCTTTAAATACGGTTTTGATTTTACATATAAATTTAGAAGTAGCATAATATTACACAAACGTTTGAATAGTTAAAATAATTCCAAGCATAAACTAGACAGTCAAGATTATTGTATTCATAACACAGACATGTGTTAGGATATCCACAACGGTTTGGCAGTTTTGTGGGAGTTGTCTCGGTGAAACATGAATCGAGGCAGTCAAATGTTTTTTTTTTCTTTTGTTCACGAAATAATTCTTAATTTCTTATAAACCATGAACAGGGCAAAGAAAGATCGTTGATTTCTGAGCGCCCTTGATTTCCTTAAACCAAAATACCAACCATGGAACGGACGGACTAACGCTTTAACAGTGTATGATACTGTCTTACTTATTTTTCGAGAAAGCAAGTTCGAAAATTCTCAGTGTGTCTGATGTAACTATTAGTTGCAACAAGTGAAACGTAGTTGCTACACCACAATGTTGGTCACTTGATTTTTATTGGCACTGAAAGGAATAGTCTCATATAAAGTTTATAATCCCCTAGAACAGTTTTCACTGTAGTTTGACGCTTTATGCAACATAACTCATACCACAAAGAATAGGACTGCTATTCAAGCAGAATTAGCTTAGTTAGGCTGAACATGGACAATGCTAACTATTTTTTGTGCCTTCAAGTGGTAAAATTTTCTGGTATCATTAAGTCACAAAGCCGTGAGTACTGGATCGTGTTAAGACAGCATCAAATTTCTTTTCCTATGTGAGTGGTGGTATTAAAAACTAAGCTAGAGGTGTTTCAAGGAATGGGGAATACAAATAAACAAGAGAAAGCCAAACATAATTCAACATTTCATACCTTTGTGTTGGATTTTAAAGCTTTTCGTACGTTTTCTACATCAGTACAATCAACAAACGTCGCTGTCACTCCAAAACGTGAAATACAGTTTTTCATGACGTAGTGGGTTCCTACGATAAGTAGGATAAACAAGATTAAGCACTCATGGTACTTATTTTATTTGTAGAGGAATTGTTCTTAAATAAAAAAGGAAATATGTTTGTTTTTGAAGTTAAGCACAAAGCTACACAATGGGCTATCACTTATTTGAGCTGTTTTGTCGTTTTTTATGTTTACACATTTTTTTTTTGTCTTTTTCAAAAACAGGTCCAATTCTTTACTTTTTTTGAGAATTTCACCCCTGATGAGAGTTAATCATAAAACATTCCTGCCATGGATATTTCTTTATGGGTAATTTGTTCGTGAACAAATTACTTTACAAGCGTATTAACATGATTTGTGTGTTTGTAATTAAGCACAAAGCTACACAATGGGCTATCAGTGCTCTTCCCACCACGGGTATCGAAATCCGGTTTCTAGCGTTGTAAGTCCACAGACATACCACTGTGCTACTGGGGGCAAGGAAATATGATAGCAAATGGCTTGATTTTGCTTTTATGTCGACAACTTCTTTGTTGGCTGCTAACCCAACTCCTGCTAAAGAGGAGAGCATTATACATTGAGGAAATACTTTTAAAACATAATTTTTCATTAAAATATGAAACAAAAATAATTCATTTTTTCATTAATCACTTTTGTAATAGTCTGAACTTGTATAACCGTGTGACTATGGCCAAAAATGACAAGTATTTATGATGGAAATTTATGGATTCTCTACATTAGCACTTCTAAGAGGAAGAAGATGAACAAATATTTATGCCGGAAATTCATGGACTCCCTATATTAGTGACTTGAAACAGGACAAGTATTTATGTTGAAAACTTATGGGTTCTCTAAAATAGCACTTCGACACAGAAAGGGAAATATTTATGCTGGAAACATGGGTTTTCTACATTAGCACTTCGAGAAAACAGGGCATATATTTATGCTGGAAATTTATGGTTTCCTATATTCACATACCAACACAATAGTACAAGTGTTACATATTATAATTTCTAATAGCCTAAAATTGGGTTAAATGATACTTTAAATTTAGTAATTAAATTGTACTTTGGATTTAGCGGTTAAGTAAAAGCCGATATATATAGTCAGTTTATGATATTTACCAACAAGATTGATTCACGCAGTTTTCTTTTTTTAACTAAAATATGTTTTAATATACAAACAACAATACAATTTACAATAACAGTTATTACAAATAGTTATTACGCACAATGATTTATATTAAAAAATTTACAAACTGACAAGCAATATAAAGTCTTCTTTCTAGTCTGGAACTTCCTTGATATCTTATCGAGGGTTCAGGATGAGCGAGTTAATTCGGAGTTGATGTAGGTACGATTCACTTAACACGGAGCTAGCTAGCTTTGTCCTTCGTTATTCACCAGCCACACACGCCGAGTTTTCCACCGTGAAGTTATGTAATGTTTTCGTAAAAATACTAATCACCGATGAGAATATACTGAAGTTAAATGATTTGTAACGTTCGAACTTTATAAATGCTCCTGGTCAAATATATGAAGTTTTCCGATTGATGAGCGTTATAACAATCACAGTTATAGCTTCCAAAGTTTATAGCACACTGACTATAGCAAACTAATAATAGATACTGTTCTTAGGCGCGTCGCGTTAGTTATATTTATAGGCGTGTGGAGAGTTTCTCGAAAATTCGGATTACGTAACAATACAAAGCTACATTAAGC